TACCTCGTACATTTTTTGAAGAGACCAGGGTAGGGACATGAACTAAGCAACGTATGGAAAAGGGCTGTGGCTCCGGGCCATCCACCTCAGCGTCATGCAAAAGAGAGCTCGATTAACTCACTTAAGAGGAGGGAAAGGAGTTGGATGATGCCCACCCTTAGAGGAAGCAGGTTATTCATGTCAGGAGGACCAGAGGGTGGGGGCACACCAGCAAAAAAGAAAAGGTGGGCGAAGTTGTACGACCCCGACACGAGAAGAGGCCAAGGAGGGAGCCCATTACTTTCACCAATGACGACCTCCCAGATGGCCCCCTCTCCCACCGAGACGCCCTGGTAATTAAGGTTGAAATCAACGATGTGATTGTCCACTAGGTACTAGTAGACACGGGCAGCTCGGTAAACGTCATGTATTATGACACTTTCACCCAACTGGGGCTGTAAAGGAAGAACCTAGGGCAGGTAAAGACCCCGCTGTCCGGCTTCACAAGAGACTGCATCGAGACAGAAGGCTCGATCAATCTCGAGGTGGAGATAGGTACACCAACCCATGTCAAGAGGTGGGAAGTGGAGTTTATGGTGGTAAGGTTCAACTGTGCCCACAACATTATACTAGGCCGACCTGCTCTGGAGGACCTCATGTGCGTGATCTCCATGGAACACCTGTGCCTCAAGTTTCCAAACCCAACAGGAGTCGGGGTTGCCCGAGGGGACCAGATGATTAGCCAGAGCTGCTACCTGCAAGCATGCCGTCAGATAGGGAAGCGAGACCTCCAGGTCCATACCATAGCAGAGAAGGCACTATAGGAGGAGGAAGGTTGAAAGCCCGTGGTGGAGATCGAGGAAGTTGTCTTGGACCTCAGCCGCCCTGATTGCGTGGTAAAGGTAGGAACCGGCCTCCCACCTAGGCTCCGAGCTTGGATTATAGACATGATTATGAGCTACAAGGAGATATTTACCTGGGGACCTGAGGACATGTCGAGCCTTAGCCGAGACATCATCTCCCACAGGCTGGTCGTAGACCCTATGGCTAAACTAGTAAACCAGCGCAAGAGGCACCTCTCTGCAGAGCGGAAGAGGTTTGTAAAGAAGGAGGTCAACACTCTCCTCAAGATAGGGCACATCAAGGAGCTGAGGTCATGTACCCTGAGTGGCTTGCCAACATGGTCCTTGCCCCAAAGCCGCCTACCTAGAGGACGTGCGTGGACTACATCGACCTCAACAAGGCTTGCCCTATGGACCCCTTTCCCTTACCCAATATTGACCAGCTCGTGGACGAGACAGATGGGTGTACCCTCATGAGCTTCCTAGACGGCTTCCGAGGGTACCACCATATTTTCATGCACGAAGATGATGAGGAGAAGACGACTTTCACGACCCTTGAAGGAGTCTTCTGTTATCGAGTCATGGCCTTTGGGCTCAAAAATTCAGGGGCTACATTGTGACACCCCCGTTTTCAAACACTAGAGCCTAGATAGATTACAAACTTACACAGTGGAATAAACGCTAAACGGGGAATGCTACCACCGTAGCCACCCATGCTAGGATGACTACCTGGCTAAACTACTAAGATACCAACACAATGAATGGATGCTCACATAGTTTAAATACATGGGATACTTAGCAAAACATGATCAATAATTTCCATAAAACATTTCATGCCATAACAAGCCCATAACGGGTTCAATAATAATGACCTACTCACATATAAGCATACTTAACACTTTTGATAACTCAAGCTTGAATCACACTTAGGTTAAAATGATGGTACATGCTTTGTTTTGAAAATGGTTTATACATAATCATATTCAACATTTTTGGCTCGAACACATCAGATCTGAGCCGCACAAGTCACCCGGACCCGTGAAAACAAACCATGGCCGGACCCAAAAGTGGCAAAAATTCCCTTCTGCCAGGGCCCTAGACCTTGCAGGACTAGGCGACAGGGCTGGCAAGCCCTGCTGCAAGGCACGCATGGTCATGGGCGTGAATGGCCTTCACGCCCTGCCATAGTTCACGCAGAGCTGGCCTGCATACCTCCCAGGTATGTTGGGAAGTCCTGCTAGAACAAAAAAAGATAGTTCACGCAGGGCTGCCCTGTTTAGCGTTTATTGGTATCTTAGTAGTTTAGCCGGGTAGTTATCCTAGCATGGGTGGCTACAGCGGTAACATTCCCCGTTTAGCGTTTATTCCACTATGTAAGTTTGTAATCTTTCTAGGCTCTAATGTTAGAAAACGGGGGTGTTACAATGTCGCCCCTGAATTTTTTAGCCCGAAGGCCATGACTCGATAACAAAAGACCCCTTCAAGGGTCGTGGAGGTCGTCTTCTCCTCATCCTCTTCGTGCATGAAAATCCGTGGTACCCCTAGAAAGCGTCTAGGAAACTCATGAGGGCACACCCACCTGTCTCGTCCACGAGTTGGTTAATGTTAGGCAGGGGAAATGGGTCCATAGAGCAGACCTTGTTGATGTCAGTGTAGTCCACACACATCTTCCAAGTAGGCAGCTTTGGGGCGAGGACCACGTTGGCAAGCCACTCAGATTACAAGACCTCCTTGATGTGCCTTATCTCGAAGAGAGTGTTGACATCCTTCTTTACAAACTCCCTTCTCTCCGCGGAGAGGTACCTCTTGCGCTACTGCACTGGTTTAGCCACTGGGTATATTGCCAGCCAATGGGTGATGATGCCTCGGCTAAGGCTCGGCATGTCCTCAGGTCCCCAAGCAAATATCTCATTGTAGCTCCTGATGGTGTCTATAATCCAAGCTCGGGTGGGAGGTCGATTCCCACCTCTAGCACAGATCAGGGCGGCTAAGGTCCAAGATGACTTCCTCGGTCACCACCACAGGCTAGGTTTATGGTCGGCCTTCCTCCTCCTGCAGCGCCTTCTCAACTATGGTATGGTTCTAAAGGTCTCGCTTCCCTATCTAACGACATGCTCGCAGGTAGTAGCCTCGACAGATTTTCTGGTTCCCTCAGGAGATCACAACTCATGTTGGGGTTGGAAACTTGAGGCATAGGTGATCCATGGAGATCACGCACCTGAGGTCTTCTAGAGCGGGTCAGCATAGTATAATACTGTGAGCACAGTTGATCTTTACCACCACGAACTCCACCTCCCACCTCTTGACATGGGGTGGTGTACCTATCTCTACCTCGAGATTGATCAAGGTACTCCATGATCCCCATGTCCTCCGCATGTCCAATATGGTGCTTACAGGTTGCATCAACGGGGTGAGGTAACGTAGGGGGGTCAACCTAGGTCCCTCAGCATGCTTGCGGCACCGCAACCTTGAGGCCCAACGATTCTCCTGGGCTTGTGGTGCCTTATCCTTCCGAGTTCACCCCTCCTCATCGTCTCTCTTCATCTTTTCGTCCTCCACAACATATACGAACCTCATCACCCTGCCTATCAACTCATAGTAGGTCTTGGGAAAGTACTGGTTGAGGTCACGATGGAAAGGACACGATCTCAAGGCGTTGGTGAAAATCGGGACAACTATTTTATGTTCAAAGTCCGAGAACCCCATCACCTCTCTTTTCTACTTACTCTAGAACATGGCTAGGGTTTCCAAGCTCTTCTACTTTACATAGCACAAATGGGCGAACATCTTCTTCTTATGGATGCAACCCACAAAGTAAGAAAAGAATTGCTTAGTGAGATTGTTGAAAGTTGCAATCGACCCCTCTGGTAGAGATTCGAACCACTCCTGGGCCTGACCGTCCTAGGTGGAGAAGAAGCCTCGGCACATGATACCGTCCTAGGGTCTGGATCCATTGATGTATTGCCCCAATGACTTTGACAGCTTTATCCATTTGTTGTGCTGTTGGGAGGAGTACTTTTCTGGTAATGAGATCTTTTATCAACAAATAGTATAGATTGACTCAGACTCCATAATCGTGGTTCAGGTACATTTTCTAGGCTTCTTCATGTTTCTATTAAATGTCATGCTTTGTTGTACTTGCATTATGTGTTTCTGAAGAGGTTTGTTCTGCAGGGAATGATGATTCTGTCGCACTTGTGTGATGAACCCAAGGGCCTGGAAACTACATGTGCATGGTAATTTTACTTTTCTGGTTAATAAACTACTGTAAATCATGTTGCAACTGAACTTGACTTGTGAACTTAAAGATAATATGAATATATACTAATTTGAAGCATACAATTTTTGTTTTTATGCTGACCAATCATTTTTAATATTCTCCGTCATGTATCCATTATTGAAATTCTTGGTGTCAATATGGTATGGACATTGAGTATTATTTTTCTAAGTTCAATTGAACTTTACTATTGTAAGCTTTAATTGCTCAAGCTGAATGTTGTTTCATCTGCATATTGATGACTGAATGAAAAAGAGCAGAGAGTTGAAGGGATAAATATGTAGAATGATGAGAGGCTGAAGAGGAGAGGGAATAAGTTAAGGCAGAAGCAAAGAAAAGTGCAGAGAATAGAAAAACAAATGGGACAGCAGCAGGAGAAGGGAATAAAATAATTTAAGGATTTATTTGTTGGTTGGACTGTTTGGGTAATTAGGTTTTAGTGAGTAAAACAATGGTGGCTTTTGACGTATTGCTAACCGATCAACTTTAATTGCTCAGGTTGAATCTTTGTATATGTTATTGTTCTGTAAAATGTCAATATTTGTAATTTATATTTTTATCAACAATAGAGTATTTGTGAAATGTCAATATTTTTAATTTATATTTTTACCATAGGTGTGTAATGAACATGGATAATTGCAATAGTGCAGAGGAAAGAAATTGACAGGAGAGAGGTAAAGAAGAGAGGAAGGAAAAAGGGAGAAAGAGAATAAGAGAATTGGGGAAGAGTTGCAGAGAGATGAGGAAGTTAGAGAAGAGAGAGATAGATAAATTTGATAAGATTGTATTCAATTTCCAAAAGTATAAAAGAAGCATTGCACTCTACTCCCTATTTATACTACGAAGGAAAAATATCTAATTACAACTCAGCTAATTTCCCGAGGTGTTACAATACCTTCCCCCTAAAGATCCTTGTCCCCAAGGATCACACAATGAAATTGAATGCACTTCAATGCTGCCTGAGAAGGCAATCCTGAGATCACAAAGTACACTATTAGAATATTTTGCAAATAGCTTGCAATTATTTAAAAATAAGAATCCATCATCTCCAATGACCAATCTTGTAGTTTTCCCTCAAAAGGATCGAGTTCATGGCAACCAGTTTAGCTGCTGTTATTCGGTTGGTAGTCACTGGTATGCTTAGATCCTTGTCCTCAAGGATCAAGCAAAGAAGAACCACCTGGACCAAAAACAAAGTTACTGCACCTTTGCCTTGTAGGATTTGCATAGAAGACATCATTCCATTCATGTGGAACACTACCAACCCCATTCATTTCACTTGCCATCTTCTCTTTGCGGCATGCTCTTAGAATATCAACACGCACTTGATATACCCTGCTTTTAGGTAGGAGTTGAGAATGTCACGTGTGCAGTTTAGGACATACCGAAAGGAAACCTTCACAAATCTCAACTATGGTGGCTTCTTTCTGCAGTATTTCTTCACACCATTGAGATATATTCCTCTCAACTGGTGCATCAGGGTACTCAAGGCTTTCTTCCACAATTACCAGTCTGTTGGTTTCCCTAACAGAAGCATTGATTGTAGATCTATCAAGTGGTCTGACTAAGCACAAAATGATAATCTCAGCGCTGACTCCTTCCATTGCATGAATCCCAGCAGCCTTGAGAGTATAACCAACCATTTTTGAGAAAGCAGTGATTGTCACCAGCCTTGCGTACATGCTAATCAGGCATGAGTAATGGTCCCTTGCAGGCTTGATTCTGTACTTGCTTTTCATCATGTTGAAATAAGCAAATGCTTCCTCCACCATTCTAGCATGGCTACAAACAAAGAGAACAGCGGTAAATGTGACCAGGTTTGGCCTCCCTCCCACAAATCTCATGTCTTCAAAGAGCTGCAGTGCCTGTTCAGAACAGCCATTTTGTGCAAAGGCTGCAATCATGGAAGTCCAGCTTACCAAAGTTCTTGTGGACATCTCTACAAAAGAACGGCTCGCACTATCAATGCTTTCGCATTTACTATACATGTTGAGTAGGGCAGTCCCCACAACCACATTAGATAAGAAACTAGACTTGATTACTTGGGCATGAATCTGCTCCCCTTGCTCCATAACTGCTAGTACACTTGAGAAGATAAACAAGTCAGGTTTTACGCCAGGTTGGTTCAATCTCAAGAAAAGTTGAGTGCCTCTATTCCACAGCCATGACTTGACAGAACATCCTCTGCTAGATCTGTCAATTGGGCAATTCCTACCATCATAGCATTCCACAAAACCAAACTTCGCGTTTCCATTCCATCAAACAACTTCCCCGCCTCCTTAACCAATCCACCTTTCAAGTATAGATACAGAAGTGAGTTTTTTATGAGTGGATTAGAACTATACCCAAGCTTAATGCTCAAAGAATGAACTTGTGATCCCAATCCTAAAGCCCACGTTACAATACACGATCTCAAGGCATTAGACGGTGTGATTTCATTTGGCTCAACACCATTACAAAGCATATCAATGAAAAAACTCAGCGCCGTTCTAGAATCCTCATTATCTCCAACAAGCACATATAACAGAGGTCCAAGATATTACATCCTTCCCATCATGCTCAATTTTAGATTTCCCAATTGGAAGACAGAAATTAGAATCGAGAGCTTCAGCTGATACAAGGAAGGACTCACCTACTCTAATCGCCGCTTCTGAATCTCCCGCGAAGATCGCCGCCTTTGAATCTCCGGCGAAGATTGTCGCCTCTGAATCTCTGGCGTAGATCGCCGCTTCTGAATCGTTAGCGTAGATCGCCGCTCCGAGTTCCCAACGAAGATCGTCGTGCCTGAGTCACTGGCAGGGATCAATTCATCATCTGGAACCAGAGGAGGAGATTCGTTGAGTCCGAGAGCCTCCATCACCTCGTTTTTTAAGCTGGAGAACTCAGCTTCCATCCGAAGCTTAAATTTGTCCACGAAATCCGCAGTAGCCTGAGACTGTGCATCCAATTTATGGCTCAACTCCACCCCCTGAGCTTCAAGCTTATCCAATCGAGCTTCCATGGTAGATGGGGTATGGTTTTGAGGGAGAGGGCTCTGATACCAATTGTAATGAACCTGGATAATTGCAGTAGTGCAGAGGAAAGAAATTGACAGGAGAGAGGTAAAGAATAGAGGAAGGAAAAGGGGAGAAAGAGAATGAGAGAATTGAGGAAGAGTTGCAGAGAGATGGGGAAGTTAGAGAAGAGGGAGATATGGAAATCTGATAAGATTGTATTCAATTTCCAAAAGCATAAAAAACAAAGCATTGCACTCTCTACTCCCTATTTATACTAAGGAAAAATATCTAATCACAACTCAGCTAATTTCTCGGGGCGTTACAAGGTGCTATATTAAACTAAAATTGAATTTATTTTTTCTGATTCATATTTTTGAATTTGCATGTTGCATTGGAGTGATAGAATAGAAAGTTGCAAATTAGTGTTGCATTGGTAGGATCAAAAGCTGCAATAGACAATTTGAAAACTAAAATGTATACTCCATATTATTTAACTTTGTATATTTTAAAAGGAAGTAGTATTGGTGTGAAGTTTCTAGATTGGTAGAGAGACAATGATGGATTGAGAGAGACAGAAGAACACGCAAAAGACAAGAAAATATTAAAATATGAAAATTCATGTATAAAGTACATTTAGATTTTTTTTTTTAATTTTTTAAGTTGGGCTATGGTTCTAAGAATGTGTAATATTTAGGCTTCAGAAAAAAAATTCTCATTTGAGCCAAATTTTAGAAATTGCATACATAAAATATATATTGTTGGTCAATACTATAATTGTGACATGTAAAGTAAATATTTAAGTTGGGTCACTTGTGATGTTATTGAGAAATATTAACCACACATACTCTTAGCCTTTGCAGTGGTACTAGATTGGTTGTAACGAAATTAGTTGACCATGTTATAAAAACACGAATATTGGCAGGACCAATGCTCACACTAAGGTACTAATAGCTAGAATAATTATCACCCTATCAGACTTAAACTAACTTTTAGGGATAATAGAATGACAATTTTAATTGATCTTTTCATATGCAATGACTATTAACCAAAGTCAAGGTCAAGCACTATCGAATGTTGACTTGCTATTAAAGAAACCAGTTTTTATTCATGGTCAATTTTATGTGGTTGCATCAAGAGTGAGTAACTCAATCCACTACAAAACTAATAATTTATAAATATTTTCAAAAAATAACATAAAATCAATCATTACTTTTTGTTAATAATTACACATGTTGATAAAATTACATTAAAGTTTTACCCGTGCATCGCATAGGACGAAACAATATCTAATATAGCATAATAACATAACTCCTAAACCAAACATAATTATATTACATATCTTAGTTTTATCTAAACACAATAATCTAACATTTCTACCATTTCCAACAATCTAACATTTCCTATCTTACCATCCGTTCCGGAAACCAAATCCCCCTAAAAGTCAAAAACCCTAGACCACCTCTCTGGCTCTCTTCGTCTCTCACTCCCCGTCTCCCACTCTCCTCTCCCCTCCCGCCTGCTTCTCTGGTTCCAGCAATCAAGCCAACTTCGCTAGGCGCTGGTTCTTCACTGTCAGTGCCTCTGTGTCTCACGCCCTCCGTTGCCAGCAGCCAGAGTACCGGGTTAGCTTTATGAGTTTGTAGTCACTGCCTGTGTTTGCTTTGTTTGCTTCTTTTCATTCATTTCCAGTTTGCCCTTTTTTTTTTCTCTCTATTCCTTGGATTTTACTGCGCTGTAGCACTGCATCTCTGTTCCATACCTCCCAGTCCTAAATTGAATGCTTAAATTTGTATTTGGCTTACATGTTCCACCAAATTCAGGGGGCCATCCTCATTGCGGAAGTTATAATTTCTAGTAATTCAAGATTTAAATATATCAAATTAAAAACTAATTAAATAATTAAAATTGTATATATTATTTTACACTCTATCTAAAAAGGGCGGGGAATCTCAGTCCCGGAAAATCCCCGGGATGGGGGTAATTCCCAATCCCCAACTGGCCGAGACGGGGAATGGGAATTGAATTCAGGGACGGGGGACGGGACAGGACCCATTTCCTGCCCCGCCCCGGCCTAACTCTTAAAGAAGCTCCTCTCACTTCTCCGACAATGTCCGGTGTCTTCTCCTAGCAGGTATTCATCGGATTCCACTTTTGCACAGATTGATGTTAAGCAAACATTTATGCTCGTTTTTTGTTTTTGTTTTGTTTTTTTTTTTTTTCCTTCATGAAAGTAGGACTAGTGTTGTTTAACTTACATTATAACGTTTCTGACAAGAAATTTATCTGGCTACTTCAGAATTTTGCGGTTTCGGGTAGAAATGGGTGAAGTGGAAAATCCACAGATTACTAGAAGAACCACTAGATTATCATCGTTTTCATCCTCTGGCATGCCAAATCCAAAAAATGTTGAGCTGGAGTCGAAACCTCTGACGATAAATGATCTTGCCTTCGGTAATGAATCAATTAATTTTGATGAGTTGATGTCCAGTTTACACGGCAGGCGACCTCAAATTCGCGAATTATTACGCTTATTAGGCCCCTTAAATTCTCCAATTTCTCCGATTTTCATGTATGGAGGTGCCTCAGTTGGGAAAACAAGTACAATTCTTCAAATATTTAAGTATCTAAAGAGGCCATTTGTGTATTGTAGCTGCATCACCTGTTATAGTCCTAGGATTTTGTTTGAGTCTGTATTGAATCAGTTATTGCTACATAGAAGGACTGAAAGCAATGGTTATTCTAGTGCAAAACGGTGTGATAAGCCCTCAGATTTTGTGAATCTTTTACGGGAAGCTCTAGTTAAGGTTGTTGAGGATCTGAAGATGAATGCGGAGAAATCAGGATCTAAGAAGTCAGCTCAAAGGACTAGTGGGAGGATGGTTTACTTGATATTTGATAATTTAGAGCGTATTCGAGAATGGAATAAGTCTGAGATATTGCCTTTCCTATTTAAGCTTTATGATGTTCTGAAGATGCCGGAGGTGGGTTTGATCTTTGTTAGTGCTACCTCTCCTGATACATATTACTCTGACACGGGCTGTGTAGAGCCTGTCCATGTTTACTTTCCTGATTACACAGACGATGATCTTCACCAAATCTTTACGAGGAGGAGCCCAGGAAACTCGAAACTGTATTCATCTTTTCTCGAGTGAGTGCTGCTTCTACTTTGATTCCTTGACTTTGCTAGTTGTTGCTTGCCATAGGTTACTGCAACAGCATCATCTATTTACTTGTTTGTTTGTTTTTGTTTAGAGCGGTACTGAGACCTTTCTGTCGAGTTACAAGACGAGTTGATGAGTTGTCAACTGCCTTTTCATCATTATTCCAGATATACTGTGAAGGAGTTGATGATTTGGGGGCTGTTCCTGATGAGCATATGAAGAATAGATTATATTGTCATCTTAAGCCACATATTGGACCAGCAATGAATGAGGTATTCAAAGTCTTGTCCAGGCCCTCCCCAGAAGTGGCCACCAACAAGATCAAGCGCAAAGTTGTTCCAACAAAAGATGGATTCGGTGAATCTTGTAATGAGGTTGACTTTCACATGTCCGACTGTGCTAAGTATCTTCTTATTTCTGCATTCATTGCTTCAAGAAACCCAGCTACTCTTGATGCCTCACTGTTTGATTCAACTGGAGGCTGTAGCAGTCGGAAAAGGAAGAGGAAGTAAGTGGCTTCAATGACGTTAACTAGCTTTTGTTAAGAAGCAGTAATTACTACTCCTATCTCTCCATTTTACATGTTCAGTTTGATTGCTAGGATTTGCAAATCCTTTTACAAATAAAATGTTTATATTAATTAATTTAGTGTTAGCAAAAAAAGTTCACACACACACACCCCTCTAATTTTACCACTCCATGATGTGTCAAAATTATAGGCATTAGTAGTGTTAAAATTAAAAAAGAAAAACTAATGTTTAGGATTTTGCCACGTGGAGTGGTTGATTTGTGAATGGTAAAATTAGGGATAATTAGCATTTTCCCATATATATATATATATATATATATATATATATCATGGTTGCAGTAGGCACTAGGCGCTAGTCGGGCGTCCGGACAGTGCCTAGCGCCTAGACGGTCTAGGCGGCGCCTAGGCGGAATCTAGGCGGCGCTAGGCGGGCGCCAAAAAAACAGTGGTAGACTTGCAGTTTGACAATTTTAATGAGGTTGTTTTCAACATTTAATCAAATAACACATCCAAATAAATGAATTAATGATAATTCATAAGTTATAACATCAAAACAATGATTTTTAAAAAAAAAAAAAACATTAAAACAATATTAAAAATTAAAAATATTCAAATATGAAATACTCAAATACTTCAATCATCCAAAGATTCAAAGTATCAAACTAATCGACGAGTGTATATATGTCATATTATCTATATGTATGCGTGCACGCACACACACATATATAATAAAAAAAAAATAGGCCGAGCTAATCGGGTTAACTCGACCAAAATTGACGAGATAACTCGACTAACTTAGACGCCAGGCGGCCAAATTGGCCGAGTTAGGCGCTAAGCGGATGCCTAGGCGGCCAGTAACCTAGGCAGGCGCCTAGGGGAGAAATCGCCACGGTCTAGAGGCGCCTACCGCCTAGGCGGGGCCTAGGCGGGCGCCTAGACCGATTTTTACAACCCTGATATATATATATTTACAATAAAGGTTGAGTAAATTTAAAAAAAATAAAAATAATAATAATAACAATAAAATGTTGAAGTAAATAAGTGAAACAAGACAAACTTGTATATATTTCAAATAGTGTAAATGAAACAAAGGGAGTAGTTTAGTGATTGCCCTAGTATTATCTCATCCTCATTTTTGCGGCTGATAACTAGATTGGATAAACATATGGTATTTTATTCTGTTTTTGTTTGGTACTAGGTTTCTGAGTATAGCCAAGCCCTATAGTTTACTTGAAAGCATTTACATTCAAGGAAGCAAAATTGTGTCAGCTCCTATTTTCTCTTGTCGTTTCATTGAAAGCTGATAAGATTGTTACGGTGTTGTATTTAGTTTTGACTTTTGATACATGAACATGATAGTTCCCTTGGGCAATATTAGGGAGTAATATTTGCTTTAATTTTGCATCGTCTGCATAACAGATTAGTTAGTTTTGCTGATATTGTGTTCAGGAGCTCTCAGAAATCAATGGAGCAGAAAGAAATTGCAGAGCAAGAATCAGTGATGAAAGGACCAGGAACTTTCCCGTTGGAAAGATTATTAGCTATATTTCAGTGTATAACATCGGTTTCAGAATATTCAACTGATGAAGAAGCAGAAACAGGACGAAATAATAATAATAATGGGTTAATGTGTGATGTTCTCTTGCAATTATCAAGTCTGTGCAATGCTAATTTTATCAGTAAAGGAGGAAGTTGCCCTTTGGAAGGTTCATTACGGTATCGATCCATGGTTTCTGAAGATTTGGCTCTCAAGGTATTGGCATTCTTCAAACTCTCTCCCTCCCTATTATACATACACACCTACCTTTTGGTTATTACATTTGTGATGTGATGTATATTTGTGTTTCCTGATGCTTTATAGGTTGCCCGGACCCTAAAATTTCCTCTGTCCAAGTATTTGTACAGATAACACCTGCCTCTATGACTCTGCAAATCAAACATTGCACATTCTGTACAATGTCACATGTATGGTTAAATTTCCAAACTTTCTGTTCAGTGCTAACGTATTACATGTATGCAATATAAGTTCTTAATGTTTTCTTTACTTGGATCAGTCATGACGATAACAACAATGTTTTTGAAATCATAGTTTCAGAAGATTCTCCCTGCTTTTTCTGATAGTAGAGAATCATCACGAAAGAAGCATGGTTAGTTATGAGACTATTTGGTGGAAGCATGAGCCACCTAGCTTAGTTCACTATGCTACAAGCATAGTTGATGTTATCCATCAGTTCCTGGCTGGTATTGGCCATAACTAGAAGAGGGCCGAGTGAACTGAGTCAACTGACGTCCGGTGGTAACCTGCTGGTCGCCCTTGTTTAGGACTGAAGAAACTTATCAACGAAAGTCGATTTATTGTTAGGTCTAACAGGATCATTATTAACAACGTTGAAGACAAACTTGAGCTACCAATTGCTACCATAGAGGCTAGCAAGACGTACAGGTTTAGGGTGTATAATGTGGGGATGAGTCCATTGATAAACTTCTGCTTCCAAAGCCACACCATGATGCTGGTGGAGGTGGAGGTGGAGGTGGAGGTGGAGGTGGAGGTGGAGGTGGAGGTGGAGGGTTCAAACACCGTGCAAAAAGTTTAGGACTCTATCGACTTAATTAAATTAAGTAATTTTTAATATAATAATTTAGAAAGTAATATATTTTGCAAAAAAGGCCTAATCAATGTTGACTTCTATTTTTTTTTTTTTTAATTGTAATGAAGTGTCATCTTGTCAATCACCTCGGTTGTATAGGTGCATCAAATATCTACATCTACAACTTTAGTAAGAGCCAATATTGTTAGACTTTAACGGAAAAAAAAATGTCGGTACAACAATATGCTCTACAAGACCATACTTTGTGCTCATCCAATTGTTCAACACCAAATAAAAATTCTAATATACCCTCATTCTTCTTACTAATACCAAATTTTGAATGTTAAATTTTAACAGATTCTGTCAATTGAAGAGGCGGTGACAAATTAATAGTTTACGTGAAATTGGAGAAGCACAGCTGAAGCGACGGAATTAGGACAGGAACACAAGCGGGAGAAGCACAGCAAAAGCGACGAAAGGAGGGGATTACCGAAAGGAAATTGTTCAGTTCCGTCTGCCGCCGCCGGATCGTCAATCTGAAATTCAAAAGAGAGGGAGAGGTCGCCATCTCCAGAGTCCCGACTCCACACTTATCAAACTCTCAGGAAGATCATTACTGGCTCCAAGTTTCTCAATAGCCTTGTGAAGAAGCTGGTATCAAATCTCTTGCTTCTTCCGATAAACTTTCCTTCCTGTTTCCGTTTTTGTGCGTTTCTGTTTCATATTTGTGGGTTTTCTGTTTGACTTACCATGTTGATTTTGGTTTGTTGATTTAAACTCCGTTGCTGCTGAGTAAATGGCTGCAAAGAAGCACTTGCTATCTCTATATTGATTTCTGCTTTGCCTTAATTCTATTCAAAAAATGATAAACATAAGTGTAAATTAAAGATGATAATTAATTTGGATGGCTGCTGCATGTGCATATTTGACTTACCATGTTGATTTTGGTTTGTTTAGTTAAACTCCATTGCTGCTGAGTAAATGGCTGCAAAGATGATTGATCTCTTCTTACTTTAACCAGAACCAGAACCATTTAAAAAAAAAAAAAAACTTATTTATACTCATTTGTTTGTTTATTTCATTTTTGTGGACTGTCAAGTTATCAACCTAACATTAATGAATTTGTAGGCAGAGTAGGTTGACCTGCCTGTTGTTCTTGCTTTAACAATGATTCAATTTAATTTTTCATTTTATTTTAATCTTTTGTTTCTAATAGTTTGTGGCCTTGAGATTTTTTTTTTTTTTACCAAATATACATCCGTGGTTGGTTGGTTGTTGAGGCTGTAGTTCATAGCCAAGTAACATTGATAAACAGAATTCTCACATTGAATTTTTGTTTCACTCCATAAAAGAGTTCAATGTACAAATTCTGTTTTTTTATAGCAATGTTACCATCCTTATGCTCAATACTACAAGCAATCTGGAGCAAAGTTATTTTTGTTTTATGAGTGGTTTTCTGGATTTTTCACATTTGGTTCTGCTATCTTCATTTTTTCTGTAACTGAAAATTCAGTATGTTGCTTATTCTTGACATTTAGGAATTTCTTTGTGGTTTTGTCCAGGTAAGGTTGTTAGCATTGAATGCCTACCTTGGTTGTTTTCTTCTTTAATCAATTGGACAAAAGCACATCATGTGGTTGATATGGGGGACCCGAATACCAACTTTAAGGATTGATTGATTTGATTCAATTGCAAAAAGTTCAATATGCATGCATATGTTGTGGTCTTTGTAGAATGAGATGTCTAATAAGTAGCAAAGAGTTCATGAAAATGCTAGATGTGTAAAAAGTTTAGACCAAATGCTCCAAAATCATATCATACTCACTTAAAAGGTAATAATTTGAATTGCTAAAACCATTACATTGACTTATTTATGTAAGCAGTGATACAGTTCAAATTCAAGTAGATTATTATGTTTAGATTGCATTTTTGCTGACATTTAGGAGACACTTATTCTGCTTTTCATCAGATTCCCATTCCTTTGACACCAGTAAAATATTATTGTGAGTTTCTTTTGGCAGGGCTACTGTAAAAATATTTCACGTGCATTAAATGAATTAAAAATGTTCAATGCAATAGTGCTTTATTATATCCTATCTGTTTCAGTGAAAAATATTTCACGTGCATTAAATGAATTAAAAACATTGAATAGAACAAGGAAGAGCATAAATCTTGCAGATTGCATTTGTCAAAGCATCATGTAAGTTGGCGTTGAAAGCTTACTTTAGACAAAAATTACTTAATTTTAAAGATAATAATTAATTTGGATGGCTGCTGCATGTGCATATTTGACTTACCATGTTGATTTAAACTCCACTGTTGCTGAGTAAATGGTTGCAAAGAAGCACTTGCTATCTCTATATTGATTTCTGCTTTGCCTTCTGTTCAAGAAATGATAAACATAAGTGTGTCGTCACAATATGATGATGTGTACAAGGGGTGAGATATGGTCCAAGTCTCGACATCGCATCCGATATCACACCAGACTAATCCATATTTGAACCAAGATACGATATCTTAAATATATAGGAGATATATATGTTACTATCACATATTATTAAGTCTTATTCTAACTTGATTGTGTACCGGAAAGTACAGTAGAGATAAGTTTGATGAAGTCAAAACAAATTATAAAGCAACATGGATTTCTTCAAAAATCACAGCTAAAAATGCAAATGTAGTTATCAAAGAAAACCTAAAGCCAAGTAGAGTGGTGATCAAGTAAACCTAAAGCCAAGTAGAGTGGTGATCAAGTAAGCTAAGGGATAATGGTTTTTGTACATTGATATTTTTTAGGTCAAAGGTAGAGAGACTAATGTGTAAAAGGGCTCTGAAATTCCAAATTGGGAAGCTGAAAGCTGGTGTGTATTATTCACACCTATAATTTAATAAATGGTTTTTCCGTTTTGTGTTGCACACTCCTTTATTTATTTATTTATTTTTGTTAATGTACAAAGATCAGAATGTATTCTCATTCATGAGTTTTAATTTATTGTTTTTAAATAGCTATGTTATGGAGTTTCGCGATTTTGAAATCCCTGAATCCAGTCGTGAGGAGAGGAATAGAAAACATAGGGAGCGGTATGCTTGTAATGAGAGTCGACGGGTAGAGATAAACTTGAGACGCAATCTTATACACAACAAGGCAAAAACATGGTATCATATACCATAACATCATTGCACGAATCATTCTCATTCACTACCACCCGTAAACAAGATGCAATACAGACACAGCCAGCAAACAAGGAAACTCAACTTCACTAAAGATGGAGAAGATGAAGACAATTCTGAGCCTTAACAAACGCCCACTAAGAAAAATTAATCTCATATGCTCAAATTACTCTTTTCATGATAGATAGTCAGCTTTAGTTAGTGGTTTATTTCTTTTTACTTACTTTAGTTCTAATTTCGAATTTCTTTACGTTTTTATTAAATTATAAGCACCAAGACTATTTCTTTATCTTTATTAATTTCGCATTATTCTCTTTCATTATTATATGAATACTTTAACTAAGAGTTAATTCCAGCAATGGTCCTCTGACTATATTGATTTTCTAAAAGATGAAATTTCAATTTTGGTCCTATGACTATAGGGGTCTTGTTAATTTAAGCCTTTGAGTTTTAAAAGTGTCAATTTAGTACCTTAACTATACAATTTTTGTCAACTTTGGTCACTCTAGCCAAATTGCCGGTCAAATTTCGCCGGAAAATTTTAATTGTTAAAATAATGAAGGTATTTTGATCATTTCACGTCTTTTTTCTTCTTCCCAGGCAAGTCCATCCCTTCCTCTCCCGTTTCCGGCGAATGCAATGAACAAAGATGATGGGAAAAGGAGGCTTGATGATATTAATAGATAGGGTTTACAGGGAGAAAAAACGCCAGAAACGGAAGAGAAAGGGATGGACTCGCCGAAGAAGAAGAAAAGAGGCGTGAAACGACCAAAATATTCTCATTATTTTAATTATTAAAATTTTCCGGCGAAATTTGGCCGGAGTGACCAAAATTGACAAAAATTGCATAGTTAAGGTACTAAATTGACATTTTTGAAAGTCAGGGATTAAAATTAACAAGACCCCTATAGTCATATGACCAAAATTGAAATTTCCTCTTTTCTAAAATTAGTCATCGACTTTTAATTTGGACACTTTGCGTCCCTTGACTTTCAATTTCTTTCCAATTGAGATCCCTTCGTCAGATTACAGTAAATTGAACTTTAAATGAAAGGATAAAGTAGTCATTTCATCTGCCTAATGTATAATTCTTCATATTTCTCCCTTGTATGCGTGACTTTGGACATCAAATTCACTTAATTGCTTAATCCCTAAATCCACTCGAAGAACAAAATTCTATTAGGGATTAAGCAATTAAGTGAATATGATGTCCGAAGTCGCGTATACAAGGAAGAAATACGAAGAATTATACATTAGGCAGATGAAATGACTACTTTACCCTTTCATTTAAAGTTCACTTTATCGTAATCTGACGAAAGGACCTCAATTGGAAAGAAATTGAAAGTCAAGGGACGTAAAGTGACCAAATTAAAAGTTGGGGACTAATTTTGGAAAATCAATATAGTCGGAGGACCATTGTTGGAATTAACTACTTTAACTAATTAAGGAACACTAATTTATAAATACACATTGGGCATTGGTCTAATCGCGCAAAGCGTGTATAATAACTAGTTTTTCCTTATATATACTAATATATGTTTGTTTTGAAGTACTAATGATTCTTTACAAGGTAGAAAATATTTTATACTTTCTTAAACATTTTCAGTTCGAAGAATCTAAACTCCGATCATTGGATTCGAACACATGACCACCTATTTAGAATGGTATCTGGGATGTCATCACACTACATGGTAATGTTGAAAACGACGCTAGATGCCCCCTATGTGTCGATTTTTCGGTGCCTATAGTTGAGTCATTGAACTAAGGGATCTTAATACGACTGCTTTAGACTGTACTCTATAGTGCTGTTCCCAACAAGCATTGAGATACTAAAAAAAGTAAAAAACAACATCTAATTTCATCTCTCTAATTCTTAGTTGTAGTGCTGTTTGGCTGTTCCTCACTTAATCTCTCTTCACTCAACAGTCTCAAGTAGTCAAGTCTCAACCTTTGTAATTTATATCAAAGCATCATTTGATTTCATCTCTCTAATTCTCTCAACACTCAATCGGCGTGCTCGCGTGGGTGACGCTTCGGAGGCGGAGGCGATAGGCGACTGAAGGAGGAGGAGGGGCGTGGTTGGCGATTGATGGACGGAGGCGGTGACTGACGGAGGGGCTTCTGACTTCTGGCTTTTGAGTTCTTGATGTTGCAATTTTTCGCGAAAAAAAGAAGGGTTGAGACGGATGGGCCGACCGGTCACGGAGGAGGCCGATTTCGGCCTTCCTCGACCGCGGTTAGTGGCCGCCTAGCGCCTAATCGGCTCTTAAGCGCGATTTTTGCAACATTGCTACATGGTAGTTGGGATTGTTTCTTATATATATATATCAAGGTTGAAAAAATAGCTAGGCGCTTGGGGACCGCCTAGGGCGCCTAGAGCGCTTAGGCGGGCGCCTAGAGCGCTTAGGCGGGCGCCTAGGCGCCGATTTTTGCAACACTAATATATATATATATATATATATATATATATATATATATATATATATATATATATAACTTGAAAAATTACACAATTACTAGAAAAAATTTATGGAGAATTTTATTTTTGAAAAATGTGTGTGATAAGATTGTTTTATTTGATAAAAAGTACTTAGAAAAATAAATTTAAAATTACTTTATTTTGATAAGAAATGTGGCATTGTACGCCTAGTCACCTACCACTCTACCAGTGTACTCTGAATGGTAAGCACGAATTAGAAATGTCAGCTGTGTTGGGAGCTTACTCCTCTGGATGTGGCTGTATAAATAGAGTTGCCGTTTTCAATCTCAGGCCCCGACTTAGCACTGCAACTTTCAACCCCTTTCTTGCTCGAAGATTTGGAGTGCGAGCTCTTTCTTCAATGTCGTACCACGCAGAACTCGACGCCGCCAAAAAGGCCGCCTCTCTCGCTGCTCGCCTCTGCCAGGTACCTCTCCAGGATTTCTATCGTTAGGTTGACTTTGGATTAGGTCGTATAATGTTTAGCGCTGTAATTTGATTAGAATTTGGGGTTGTTTTTCTTCATTTCGCTTACACTGACGACCTAACATTGATTTCTCCTTAAATTGGTTTCGGAAAGGTATTGTTTCTGTTCGTATTTTAGTTTTGTATGTTGAATTAACTGCAAATTCACTCAGCCAGCGATGCCTTCTTCAAAATTGTGTGATTCAATTTAGCTTGACATGAGTGTCGTTTTACTTTGCAGAAAGTTCAGAAAGCACTTTTGCAAGCCGATGTGCAGTCAAAGTCAGATAAGAGTCCTGTCACTGTGGCTGATTATGGTATGGTGTGTCGATTTATTTATTTGATTTCTGTATGTGTCCCATCTGATTAAGCAAATGCATTGTTGGTTTTGATGGATTAACTATTAAGAGACTAAGACAGACCAATATGTATGAGTAATTGGTTGATAGGGCATAAGAAATCATTCTTTCATGCTAAGTCTTGGTATTCATTTATGAGGTTCATCTTTCCTTTGTGTTTATGAACTAGTGACTAGTGAACATGTGATGGCATTTATGAGATTTTTGTTTTGGATGTTACAATTGATTGTCAGGTTCACAGGCTGTGGTCAGCTTTATTCTGCAGAAGGAGTTGCCTTCTAATTCGTTTTCATTAGTGGCAGAAGAGGTGACTTTAATTCGTTTTCATTATTACAAACCTTTAATCAATGTTTCTTTTATGTCATTGAGAACAGTTACTGCATCTGAATCTTGTTTAAATGAAAGAAGAAACTTCTCTGGGTTTAAATATTTTAGGTTTATGTTGGGGATTTAAAGTTTTAAACACTCTAGTCTGCTGACATATGGTTCGGGGTTGCAGTTTTATGTGTGGAATGGGAAAGAAAATCACAAAATTTTTAGGAAGGAAACTTTGAAGATTAAGCACTATTCAAGTGATGGAATCATATATTCATATATTAGTGTATTAGCATGATCTTTCATTGCTGTGCACAAAGGAGTGTTCTCATATTGGAGATATTTACTCCAATTCATCAAACATTCAAACAGACTTTTTTTTTTTTTTTTTTTTTTTTTTTTTTTTTTTAAATTTTTAAAGTGAAGTTGTGATTCTCCATTTGCTTGTTAACTCCAATTTTGTTGAAATAAGTTATTAACATAAGTGTTAACATGGTTCATATGGGGTGGTTATAAACAATACTAACATCCATTTTATGGTCCATTGACCAATTCAAGTTTCTTTCCTTTCATTTCTTTGGATAGATTTCTAGTACTGGGTGTATATTCTATGGTGCTACAGAAGGATTCATCTACTTAAATAATAATTTAGTTTTAATTGAAGTTGAAAATGTGGATGTTGAACTTGTCTAGGACTCAGAAGACCTCCGTAAAGAAGAGTCACAAGAAACAATTCAACGTATCACAAAACTTGTGAATGAAACTCTTGCTAGCAATGAATTAGGCATTACTTCTCCCTTGTCTCAAGAAGACGTGCTTGCTGCAATTGACAGTGGTAGATCTAATGGGGGTCCTTCTGGTCGCCATTGGGTATTGGATCCTATTGATGGGACCAAAGGGTAAATTTTTAAATTAGTTTTCATCCTTTCTTATAATTTCCTCTTCGCAGAAATTGCTGTCTATGGGATGTTTTCATTGGAAGAAGTGTTAATTAGAATGATAGAAATGAGTAGGTGCAAAAGAATGAAATAAATGAGAGCAGTCAAAAGAGGAAACAAGTTGTCTATTGCAATTGAACTTATGAGCCACTGAATATGGTTTGTGTTTCTCCCTTTGTAGGTTTCTAAGAGGTGACCAATATGCCATTGCATTGGGATTGTTAGATGAAGGGAAGGTAGTTTTGGGTGTCCTAGCCTGCCCCAATCTTCCATTAGCTTCTGTTGCATACCATGAACATCAAGAGAACAGTGGCTGTCTATTTTTTGCTCAAGTTGGAGCTGGAACCTACATGCAAAGTCTAGATGGCTCTTCCCCCAAAAAGGTGGCTCTCTACTCCCATCCAACATTCATTCTATTTAGTGATAGTAATTAAGATTAATCTTATTCTCATGCCTCTTGTCCTTGTTACCCAACAGGTGCATGTTACAGGTATTGAAAACCCTGAAGAGGCATCATTTTTTGAATCTGTTGAAGCAGCACATTCGATGCATGACTTATCTAGCTCGATAGCAAAGGTAAAATTCTCTCCTTTCTTCACATCTGTCATGTCCCATGAATACTCTTCTAACTTTAAAAACTTAACCAAAGAAACTAGGTGTTAAAGCACCACCTGTTCGAATAGATAGTCAGGCTAAGTATGGTGCGTTGTCCCGAGGAGACGGAGCTATATATTTGCGCTTTCCTCATAAAGGATACCGTGAGAAGATATGGGATCATGCAGCTGGATATCTTGTTGTTTCAGGTACAGTTTTTTCTTTCAATTGAATGTACTTGTTGTTAACTTGCATTTATCACCATTGTTTAACAGCTTTCTATATGAAATTTTGGGACATGACAATGGTTTTCAAGAGTGGTTTGGCACTTTTGCTATGTGCTTATGTTGATATTCACTTAATTATACAAAGTAATATATATATCCCCTGATATTCCCAATACACAATAGTTATTTTTTTAAAAAAAACTACTCAATAGAAAACAAAATTCAATCGCATAATATGTTGAGAATTGAGACACTGGTCAAGGGTGTTGGTTCTTTGTTTCCAAGCTTTAACTTGCGGTAAGCTTTGGTATGAATATTGCAGAAGCTGGAGGTATTGTGACAGATGCTGCAGGAAACCCATTGGACTTCTCCAAAGGAAGGTACCTGGATTTGGACACTGGCATCATCGTTACCAACCAGAAGTTGATGCCTGCTCTGTTGAAGGCAGTTGGTGATTCTTTAGCTGAAAAAACTTCGTCGCTGTGATCTTTTTTATTTTATTAGAATAACTACAAAATTTGTAGTAACTCTTGCTTGAATAAATTTGCTATTATTAAGGACATTTTGACTTGGAGATTCAGTCAGATGTTCACATCATATTGATTGATGGCAGCAATCAGTGCCGATTATCTTCCCATAACTTTTATTTCCTAAAAATGAAAATAAATGGATCTAGAAAGGAACATCAGAAGGATAGTCCTGCGGATGGCTTGTGATGGTGTCTCTGAGTGACATCTCTTGCTCGCGTAGGTTGGTAGGAGGAACATCATAAACATCTGTAAACGCTTCACTGATAGGTGGTTTCTCTGTTCTTTCTGCTACTTGAATTGCATGTAATACCTGCAGGCAGGCAGGCAGCAGCACAAGATTTGGATCATACATCCATCATTCAGAGACTTAAAATGGGAGATTGATTAGGTGGTGGTGCTTTTGATGTGTCATAAATTTGATAAGATAAATCATAAATCCAAACAACATAGTCAAATTGTTTTGGACTGTGTCTCTGCAAATGAAATGTAACTTACCTGCTTCCTGAGACTGCTACGAAGTTGTGATTCAGCTGCAGTGTCCCACCAAGCTTCTCTTTGAATCCATTTCCGAAACCTGGTTACAGGATCCCGTGCACTTTTCCACAGTTCAATTTCATCGGCAGGACGATATTTGGTGGAGTCATCTGAAGTGGAGTGATGTCCTGCTCTGTATGTGAGGGCCTGTGATGAACCTATTTCTGTCAATTCAAACTCCCCCCTCAAATACTCAAATGTATGTATGTATGTATGTAACCAACAAATTACTGTACTAAACCACCTCGATTAGAACAGGCTTATGCTCCTTAACAGCCATCTCACGAGCAGCACTCATTGCACTGAATATAGCAACAGCATCATTTCCATCAACACGAATGCTGCGAACTCCATACGCTTTCCCCCTGCTAACAACACCATCGCCTGACACAAACCAAACCTGGTTGGGACTTTGTAATGGAACTAGAGAGAGTATCAAGTGAAGTGAGTGAGGGGTGTACATACTTCTAAACTGGTCACTAACAGGGGTACTTATTGCCCAGCCATTGTTCCGGCAGAAAAAAATCACTGGCGCCTCCATCACCCCCGCAAAATTTAATGCAGCATGGAAGTCACCCTAAATGAAATTTCAGTATATTAGCAATACAAACAAAAAAAACCAAAAAGAAATCACTGCAGCCCTTGTCAAACCCATGGCAAGACAAATTATAATAATGTTCTAATGCCACCATCCTAACTAGGAGAAACCCTTTCTTAACAGTCAGAAAGAAAAAGGACTCCAAAGGAATTAAGGACTAACATTTAAGAATGTGCATCAACTAACACAAGCATAGAGGGGCAAAAGAAAAGAAAAGACAATATGCTTTAGCACGTACTTTGTCATCTGTAAACTAATAAAGATAAAATGGAATCTGAAATTACCGTACTAGAGCCTCCATCTCCAAAATACACAACAGTACAGGCATCCCTTCCATCCCTCTTCAAAGAATATGCAGCACCAACAGCGTGGGGAATTTGTGTACTAAGTCACAATAGCCATTATTTTTAATAACTTATATATCTTCTTGAAGATCTGTGAATTATAAACTACAGTATAGAAGACAATTTCTCTCTTACGCAACAGTTGATGCGACGGTGAAGTAATTGTGTTTATTAGATCCATAATGGATAGGCATCTGCCTGCCTTTTCCATTATCATCTTTATTCCCAAAGCACTGGTTCGCAAATTCCTGTAGAGTGAATCCCCTCCATATCAGAACTCCGGGCTCCCTGTACTACAAGGATGAAAAATGAACCAAATTACTTTGCATTATATTTATGCTTCTAAATAACACCTGTTTCTAAAATATCCCTCTCATTCAATAAGGATGAAAGCTATAATACCAACTTATACTTTTACACTTTGCGCTCAAATTTGAACTAACTGTGACGATAATAAAATATACCAGAACATCTATCACTTTGATATCTGAAATTTACATGCATATGTACACAGATTTTTCCAAGAAGATTGCAACTAAAGGAAATACAAACAGGGAAAATGATAATTAAGAATTTGTCTTTCAAAATGCAACTTAGGGACTCAAAAATAGGATTAATAGAGCATGGCTATAGTTAAAGCCAGAAAAACATGAAAGATGGGTAGATAGAGGAAGATGGATGGTTTTGCATAAACTGTTTGTTTATTAACCTGAGGAAAGATGAAATCATCCATGTGAAGTGCTGCAGCTGATGCAATATTGATGGCCTCTTCTCCAATCGTTGTAACATAGAACGATATTCTTCCTTGTCTTTGTGCTTCGTAGAAAATGGTATCCATAGTTTGAAGTGTGATCATATCGGTATACATTTTCACAGCAACCTTCTTGTCAATCTGATGATACTAGAAGCTATAAGATTCACAGTTGGATAGAAGGCATCATTGGGTAGAATGAAGTAAGGCTTTTATAAATTACCTTCACAAAATTGTTAGTGATGGGGAAACCATCATCATTGAGGACACGGTAGCAGTGAATCCTTTCATCATGAGTTTCAGAAATAAATTTCATATGGGAGGTGAATTTAACCTTCCCTCCAGGGAAATCCAGGACCTAAAATTGCAACATAAGTCTATAATCAGTCAAGTACAGAATATTTCTTATGAAAAAGATGCCACTTAATTGATCAAACATGACTTCAAATCAAATGTATATATATATATGGTCCTATTCTGCATTTATCCCAACACAAAATTGGAAAGCAGAGCTTCAATAACATGATTCTATTTTGCACTGAGGCTTAATAAGACATTACACAATTAAGCCAATTTCGAAACTGAATGAACTAAGAATTTATTAGTTTCTTGGACAGCTAGAAACCAAAACCAAAACCAAATCAATCAGGAACAACTAATGTAGAATCTATCTCTATGTAATTACACTAAAGCAAGCAAGAAAGCAGGCACACCCATACAAAACCATTGGCCAAAACTTCAGACAGAAGATACTAAAAATCAATTAAGCTGGGAAATCACATTTGAACAACGGCATTACAGATATACAACCAGCATTAGTAGCTACGAACAGAAGCGCTTTGAATCCCAAAGAAAAGGATGAATCAAAGCTATGGTTTTACCTCCAAATCATCAGGACTCTCAGCGGGTTCAGCTCGGGTTGATTCAAAACGGCGAGAGGTTAAAAAAGCAGGACCAAAGCGCGGAATCGCGGACGGAATTAGTGTCCGACGAAGAAGACCACCCAGTGTTGAGCTTAGAAGGTTAGGAATCAATGTTTTGGATTTGGAGAAGGAGGAAGCCATGCATACAGATAGATAGATAGATTCTTGCTAAATGAACTGATGAGCAGAGGATAATAACAAAGTTCGGATAATCATACAATAATTAGCAGAGTTTAACGTGAGCGAATTGATCAAATCTTAAACTAAAGAGAAACGCTAGAGTGTATCGCGTAACAGTATACGCGTCTTTTTTTTCTTTTCTTTTTTTGTCCTTACTATTATTTTATTATCAAATAGAAAAACAGCATTATAACTCTGTTTCCTCGTTTAAATAAACAAATACGAAATAGAATCCCATTCTCGTCCGCTCTCATTGTCTTAATCGTCTTATCCGGTCTCCACATGTGTCAACGTTACACAATAATTTAAAAGTAAATATCACTTTTGGTCTCTTGACTATCATAGGTGAAACACTTTTGATCCTTGACTATTGTTTTTTTCAAATTAGGTGCATGACTTTTTAACTAGTATCACTTTTGGTCCTTTGGTCTAATTTTCCGGTTACACATTACCAGAATTCAAACCGAAAAAATTATATGTTATAATTAGAAAGACATTTTGGTCCTTTCAAATTTATTTCATTTTTCTCTTTTATTTTTCTTTTTTCTTCCTGCTTTCTTCCCCAGCTCTCCGTTTAGTACACATGAATTACTTCTTACATTTTCCTTGGTTTCTTTAATACTCAAAATTTGCAGAACACAGTACAGAATTTGACATTTTATTTCATTTGTTTTGTTAAGAAATCAAGGAAAAAGGTAGGAAGTAATTCACGTGTACTAAATGGAGAGCTGACAAAGAAAGCAGGAAGTAGAAAAAAAAATAAAAGAGAAAAATGAAATAAATTTAAAAGGATCAAAATACTCTTCTAATTATAACATATTATTTTTCCGGTTGGAATTCCGGTAATATGTGGTTGGAAAATTAGATCGGAGGACCAAAAGTGATACTAGTTAGAAAGTCATGCACCTAATTTGAAAAAAGCAATAGTCAAGGACCAAAAGTGCTTCACATATGATAGTCACGGGACCAAAAGTAATATTTACGCATAATTTAAAAAGTTATAATGGGTAAAAAACTAAAAATATTATTATTTAAAAAACAAAAAAAAAAAAAAACAAAAACAAAAGGAAGGATTATATTACTGCAAATGCACAAAAACAAAATCAGGGAGAATAGAACCCCAAAACAAAAAGCTAGCCTGGGAATAGGCTGCTGAAGCTAAAGAGTGTACTACCCTATTAAAAGAACGAGGAATAAAACTAATTGAACATGAAAGAAAAGAAGCCATCAGATTTCTACAATCTAAAGTAGGAATGCTGACATACGAACGCAACACAATAGTGGTAGAAGATAGATTATGACAAAGACCCATGCAATCAGACAGTAGTCGAACGGAATGAACTTCCCTCTCTTTTAGCCAAGTGAGAACTTCCTTACACACCATGGTTTCAACCATCAAAGGACACGTACAATGTGATAAAAGACCGTTCGTAGCAGCAATGAACTCTCCAGAAACATAAAATAAAACTACCCCGTAGGTAGCTTTTCCAGAATTCGGAGAGAAGCCGGTGTCAAAAGCACACTGCCATCCCGTAACACCAGCCATTGACTCCTGTGCATGAACTGGAAGCGTACGCCCCTCCTGCCTCGTTCTAACTCCATAGATCCCACACCAAGCATTCACAACACTGGAAGCCGCCGCCACTGTTTTATTCGGCAATGGTAAAGAGAAATCCCATAATGCATTATTCCTGGCAGTCCAAATGCCATAAAGATTGGTCGTCAATGACTCCAACTCATCACCCTTCAACATGCGAAAAACCTCCTCCAACCAATCAGCGGAAGTAATACCTCCCACATGTGAAATAGGTGCCAAAGAAGCATGCAAAACCTGCTGAGCATACACACAAAGCACGTGAATAATGCCGGATCAACATTGCATTTCACGGTGCCTACCGGTAGAGGTATTCCTTCATCCATCTGACTATGGTCATGAGACGCTGTGGTTGGACAACAGTTTTCCTTCCAGACAACACGCCTAGCCTCAACTTGCCGCCGAAGCCCTTCTACTGCCCAACCTCCATTGCTCCAGATTGTATCATTGTGTGCATTCCAAAGGGACCACAAGACTGCCGCCATATGGATAATCTGATCAAAATCTGAGAGAGCTAGTGCATTGTCCAGATACTTCCCAAAGCTCCTGCCATGCAAAATGTTAGAGCTATCCCAAACTTGACATGCAAACGGGCATTCAAAAAAGACATGATCAATTGTCTCTAGAAGAACGTCATAGAAAACACAGCCACCCCCCCCCCCCCCCCCCCCCCCCCTACCCAAACACGTTTTGTCTTTAGAATCTCCTGAACCGGTAGTATGTTACGAGCGCATCGCCATAAAAAAAAATTCACTTTAGGAGGAATTGGCAATTTCCAAAGTTTACCCCAAGCTGTAAATTAGGTATAAGATGCTGCATTCAACTGTTGTTCTATTAGCAATCTATAACCCAGCCGAACCGAGTATAAACCTCTCACGCATGATAGATCTATAACACAGTTTAACAAAATAACACCATTTCGGGTCGCCAAACTAGAACCACGAATCCTCATACGTTGGGCTTACAAGCAACCGTACAATATGGTCAATGTCAGTAGAATCAAAGATCTCATGAAGTAAGGGTATGTCCCAAGATTGAGTAGTTGGGTCAATTAAACCAGCAACCGTAGTAACACTCAGATGCGGAGGCATTATGGTTTGAACCATAGGGCTAGAATCACCAGGCAACCAAGGGTCTCCCATTACCATAGTATTGGCACCATTCCCAATTCTCCGTCTAACCCCAGTACAAATTAAGTCATGGGAGGCCATAATACTCCTCCAGCAAAAACTAGGACAATTACCCAAAGAGGCATCAATAAAAGTGGAATTAGGGAAGTACCTTGCTTTATAAACACAACTTGCAAGAGATTTTGGCTTAGTGAGAAACCTCCATCCTTGCTTCCCCAACATAGCCAGATTAAAAGCACGTAAATCCTTAAATCCAAACCACCGATTTTTTTTTTTTGGGACACACAAACGATCCCAGGCCATCCAATGAATACCTCTACCATTAGCACCACCTGAACCCCACAAAAAATGGTTCATAACAAGTTCCAAGGCTTTACAAAACGAGTCAGGCAACAAGAAAACACTCATAGTGAAAGTGGGCATAGCCTGAGCTACACTTTTAAGAAGGACCTCCTTACCTGCACGCGTTAGTAATTTTTAATTCCACGCCCCAATTCTCTGTGTAATCTTATCCTCAACATAGGAAAAAAATAGCACGTTTATTCCTACCTATAAAAGATGGCAAGCCTAGATATTTACCAAAGTTTGCAGCCTGAGAGACACCAAGTAAATCAACCACCCATCACGGTCCACACTTTGAGTGTTCCTGCTAAAGCAAATATTAGATTTATGAAAATTGAATGTTTGACCAAACAAAGACTCATAAGTATGAAGGCACTGTTTAACCACTTCTGCTTCTTGAACGTTGGCCTTAAAAAATAACAACCTGTCATCTGACAAAAAAAGTGTGAGATTGCAAGGGAACCTCTTGCAACCCTACAGTCATGAATAACCCCCAAATCATGTGCTTACTGTAATAGAATAGAAAGCCTCTCAATACAAATAATAAACAGATAAGGCAAAATGGGATATCCTTGTCTCAAACCTCTGGATGGGGTAACATGTCTTCCACACACACCATTAATCATAATGTTATAGGAAACAGTAGTTACACATTCCATAATCAGATTTACCCACTTATCAGCAAACCCCAACGCCATAAGCATCTTCCTAAAAAAAAACCCACTCCATTATGTCATAGGCTTTACCCATATCTAACTTTAGGGCCTCCACCCTACTTTACCCAATTGCTTTCTATTGAGAAAATGACCAACCTCAGCTGCAATCAAGATATTATCGGTAATGAGTCTGTTAGGAATAAAAACACTTTGGGATTATGAGATTGCTGCACTACGATTTCATACGGTTAGCTATTACTTTTGCAATGATCTTATACAAGACATTACACAAAGCAATAGGTCAAAGATCAACCACAACTTCTGAAACTACCTTCTTGGGGATAAACACAATGTTAGATTCATTAAGACTAGCTGGCAAAGACCCCGTATTCAGAAAATCAAGTACAAAAAAAATAGCCAAAACCAACACTTAGCAATTTCTTCACTGTAAACCTTCCCAAACAATTCTTTGTAACATTCTTCTTCACAAATTCTAACACAAAATGCTCATTTCTACTCCAAATTCCATGAAATCAAATTCTAAACGTGCATCGTGACGACCCCGAGTGCCCGAGCCTCAAGGGCCCGCGAGTCCCGGTCTGAAACGACACGTAGCTGAGCCACAAGGGCCCGGCCACTGCACTGTAATCTGCTAGGCGGGGCTTGTGGAGCCCCGCCGCACGGAGCCGCCACGCGGCGGCCTATAGCCGTGCCCTAGGGCCGCTCCTCCACAACCCTAGCCAACAGCTCCCTCCTAGGGCCGTTGGCTAGTCCCGCCTCTCATCTGGTGCATACTGTGTTGTGCACCAGTGATGTTCTTCTTCACCTGTAAGACATTTTCAAGCAGATAACCACTCCCAAAACATCAACAACACATCTAAGCTCAGCAATAGCACATTCTACTAGCTCAAACACACATTATTCTAACATTTCTACTCATTTCTAAGCACAAACAATGACTTCACAGAGTCAAAAATAGATTTGGGAGTCCATGGGGTTATACCTTTGTAGATTCCTCCTCTTGGCTGGGATTCCACCTTCTTCCCAAGCCTAGCTACACCCTCCTTCACCCCTAAACAACTCAAACAAACCACACCACCAACTTAATACTAAGCTTCTCAGAGATGGAAGGATAAAAGGATTGCAAAGAAGGGAAACTATGAGAAATGGAATGCTCAGACATGAAGAAAACTTACTGTATTTTCCTCTGGATTTCTACAGAGCTCTTTGGGGAAGACAAGGTTGGGAATCAAGAGGCAATAGTCTAGAAATGGTTCATTATATAGTAGCACAAACCCTAGGAAGATACTCAATGATTGGTGGAGGGCAAAAGAGTAAATTGTTGTTTGTTCTAAAAGCATCAGGCAAGAATTTTGGAGTAGAGTGGTTCACCATGCTTCATGGACCATGGTCCAAAATCAGGATTTTAAAAGTAGTTTGGGGTTGAAATGAATTTTCCAAAAATGATTTCTAAATAGACACTTGCTTTAGGTTTCTCAGATCTCTCCCGGACTCACTCAGATAAAATTTTCAGTTAAAAACTTGGCACGCAATGTACCCGAGAATTTAGGATTTTTGTTCCAAATCACGTTTCGGTGTAGAATTTATTTAAAAGTGGCTCAAAATATTTTATTCTAACACCGATTTTATTGCAAAAATTTTTATGGAGTGAAAAATGACTATTTTGAAATTTCTTAAAACTGAATTTATAAAATTAAATTTTGGGTTGTCACAGTTGCAGGAGCCAATAATCATCTAAAGCTTCCCCAAAACCGGGAAGAAGGCTTTCAGGCACACCCCCTGCTCTCATGCTGAAAAAGTAGATCATTGAAATCCCCAATAACTACCCAGGGCAACGAGAAATGAGGCCCTGAGTTACGTAGAAAGTTCAAGGACTCCACACGCCTCCCCTGCTCAAGGAAGCCATAAAAACAAGTCATCCTCCATGGTGAGTAACCCGTAAGTCGCACATCAATATCCACATGATTCTTCGAAAAACTTAACAAACTAGCAGTGTTATTGTTTTTCCAAAACAGGGCCAGACCACCACTCAAACCGACCCTATCCACGTAAAACAACCCATCAAAACCAATTTTCACCCTCAAACGCTCATCATGTTCCATACTCACTTTAGTTTCTATCGAAAAGACAAGATTCGGCTTCTTACTTGACACAAGGTCAATAATTTCGCGAACTATGCGTGGATTGCCCAAGCCACGACAGTTTCAACTCAACGTACTCATTGTGAAGGGCGGGTCTAGCAATCTCTAGAACCTGCCAGCAGCAAGTTTTTTGGATGACTCTCTTCCAGATGCATGTGTCAACAACTATTCGTTTGAAAAGGATGGGGACTTAGTACGCCTCTTCTTCTGCTCAACAATAGCCACCTCATCAAAGATATCCCCACCTACCGGAGCAGTCAGATCGAAACCAGCTGTACGAATGTTCGTTGAATGGGAAACAACGCCATGTGAAGTCGAAACCTCATGTCTGTGAACAACAGAACTAACTTTCATGTTCACCAAACTGTTAATGTTATCGACAAGACTTTGAACCAAACCAGGGGTCGTCTACTTCGTACGTTCAGCCATAGATTCTGGAGCAAGCCACCGATTACCAGCTGACGGCACCTGCCTCCTGGAACCTGCTCTCAACCATGCCCCAAAAGGCTTATTTCCTTGGGGGTTTTGTTCATGGAGAGCCTTCAAACAGAACCGATCACAATGGCCAATAATTCCGCACAGAAAACAGAAAGTAGGTACACGCTCATACCGAAAGTCAATCGTTGTCCACTCATTACTACTCTTTTTAAGTTTCATCCCCTTCTTCAGTGGCCGGTTAACATCAAACTGGATACGGATTCTATAAAAAGAACGCATAATACCATCAAAATTCCTCTCATCATGCTTGACCAACGTACCCAAAGTGTTACCGATTGCCTCAAGCACTCCTTCATACCGAAAACCGAACGGTAAGCCATGAACCTTAACCCTAAAATCTGCTGTATTGAGAGTGACAGATTCTAGGTCCTCACCGGGCAGGATCCGATGTAAAAGTAATAGGTTTTGCTCATACGTGCAAGGTCCATCATCAATCAGATGCTAAACATCAAACTCATGGATAAAACGAAAGAGATACAACCGAGGCTTCAGTTCACTTACATTCATTCCCATCGCTAGTCTCCACACCAATGCAATCGTATCCCTAAAGAACAGAAACTTAACGGGCCTTTCAGTAACTAGCCTTCCCCGCACGTAAAACTCCTCTTGATTGGCAGTAGGACTATTCGGAACATTTGAGAACTAGTGAACATCATCGTTGTCATCAAGGTCCACCAGAGTGAGGTTAGCAAGGGCGTGGATTGAACTGGAAGACGCCATGCAGAACGCTGACGAAGAAGACCAGACAAAGCCCTAGCAAACAAAAACCCTAAAAAAGCTCCAAACGGCAGAAAGAGAAGAAACTCGTGAACAAGCGAGAAAAAAAGTTTGGCATGGGTAAAAAATATTAACTATTATATTTAAAAAAATATTTTTTTTTACTCCCTATTTATTATCTATAAAAATATTACTGCTTATTTCTATGTATAATAATAATTATTTTATTTATATAAAAGAAAAAGAAAATTTATATAAATTTTGATCAAGCAATACTAATTAAATCAACATAAATTATATAATTTATAAATATTGATTAAAAAGAACAAAATCTATAATATTTTCTCACAACTAATTAATATTAAATAGATTCTTAATAGATCATAAATGGATTTGTGTAAATATAATATACTAACTTGAGTATTTTACCGAGTAAGATAAGATGTTAATGGGTTAAACAACTCAACATATTAAGATACAAAAATTAACATGTTAGTCCATGCTTACGTCTCTTGTCAGCTTACTCCATGAATAGCATATTACTCCATGCTTACGTCTCTTGTCAGCTTACTGCTTCCGTGGCATACTCATCCCAATGGATGGGTTTTTGTCATTTTCTTTTGCTTGTCAATACGAAGGACTAGGGAAGGGAAGAGAGGAAAAGAAAATAAAAAGTAACCATTTATGTGTCCACATAGGGTTTTCGGTTTTTAGTGCATAGAGTTATGTGCATCATGATTGTCAATTTAAAATATAGGAGAATTAAAATTATATTTTAGTGTCAAGTGCCTTAGTAGAGGCATAAAATAGAACAATATTGTCAAATGTAATTAAAATAATACTTACTTTACAGACCACATTACTACACGTAAAATTTGTTAGAGGGTTTCAACACTAACTAATTTTATTAATTTTTCGGTGGGGCCCATGAGATATTAGAAAAGGAAAATACTACTCACTCTCAAATTCTATCCTAAACTTTTATTCCATCTCACTAAATTTTGATGACATTTTCATTGGGACCCACAGAATGAAGATTGCTAATCACCAATTGCCACATTAGGAAGTAAAAGTAGTGAGTGAATAAAAATAAGGAGTACATCAGTACATGTACTAAAACATATTAGAAAAACTATCTTCTCTAACATATTTTTACTTTGACAATAAATCCCCCAAAACCCCCTATTATTGATGCTCTTAAATGTCTATGATTGACATTCCGACCATCTAAAAATACCGTTTTGTGAGTAATAGCAGAGCACATATTTGATACAACTTTTAATCCATCTATTAGAGTTATTTCACTTTCACTTTAATTAGAGTCTTGAGTTTGAATCTTACAAATGAAAACTCCATAATATGTCCAACCAAAACTTGAGTTCAAAAAAGCATGTTAATATATTAAAAAAAAAAAATAATTTTTACTTTAATTGGTTGTTTAAGGATAATTTTAAACTTACACGACTCAAACTTACTGGCTGCACTCAATCCAGTAGCCCCCTCTTGCCTCTTGGCCATCACAGTCTTTGCTTAATTTATCCCTTTCCACATTTTTTGCAATGAAAATTGCTTGAGAAAATACACCCTTCATCAGAGAGTCTCTATATTTCCCATAACATATATTTTTATCTCAATCAAAACCACACATTTCACATTTCCCAAACTTACAGAGGAGACAACAAGCCAGAAATGCTACTAAAAGAATTGGCCTGTGCATTTTATGTATATGCCAGCTATATCGGAATTTACAAAATATTGAGCATAAAATGTAATGATAGATCTTCTAATGGTGAGGTGAGAACAGAGCAGAATAAATACATTAACCCGAAAAAAAATGTAAGAAATTTGATTGGGAGCCAAAAACAATCAGCAACAATTGCTTGATGAATCAATAGGCTGTGGTGGCTTTTCCTTGAAAATGTTCTTTTTGATAGCCTTGGAGGCTTCAGCCAAGAGGACTGGTGTATCAAGAATCTGCATATCATCACCACCATTGATTCATTCGTTGTATTCCATGTGAGAGATATTTAACCACAATGAAAAATTACTATATATCAACTTAAAAGATGAGACTTGCCAATAGCAAAACATACTTAAACTTCTATCAGTGGAAGCAAAGAAATATCAATGCGACAGATTATTACAGTATATGTTAATGTGAAGGGGAAAGTTAAAGGAAACAAGATGGTAGTGAAAAGATTTGGCAGAACAAAGGAGTGAGGTAGGGGATACGGTACGAATAGCTGATTAAAGGAAGAAGTGGAGATGAAAGTGGTAATTGAGTATTGGGATACGGTACGAATAGCTGATTAAAGGAAGAAGTGGAGATGAAAGTGGTAATTGAGTATTGGAGATCAAAGTAGCCATAAAGCCTAATGATGAAGCATGGAGGAAGCTTTTACCCAAACTATTTTGTATTCAGCCCATCTTTTTCTTTATTGTAATCATCTTTGAGCATCCACTTAATAAATCAAAACAAAAAGAAGACATCCCATTTTGTAATTGCTATTGTCTTCACTATAAGTAACTCCAGTTGAATATAACTTCACAAAAAATATCAAAGAAACATATGCTTGAAAATACTTGCATGGATGAAATTGAAAAAAAAAAAAAAGTTATAAAGGCAAGATTATGTACCTTCAAGATAAGCTCCTCGAAGCATTGCTGCACATTCACTCGTGTTTTTGCACTGCATTCTATAAAGAGGCATCCATATTCCCTAGCAAAGTTTATTCCTTCCTTTTTCGTTACAGCCCTTTCACCTTCCTGAAATAATTGGATGTAAAAAGCATTAACAAGTCAGAAAGCAAGTACCAATTAAAGCTTTGCATTGTAATTCTTTAGCATCTCTGTGACTAGGGGAAACCAAATGTCTGACAACCATTAACAAAAAGAAGTATAGAAACTTAGAGCATCCACACTTGTGCATATTGTGGGGAGATTTCAGCATTAATTCTTCCCTACATGAGATAATAGCTAGTGTGGAGGGGAGATAATTGAAAAATAATTGTCCTGCAAATGTGAGGATATTGTCAGGAAAAAAAAAAAAAGAAGAAGGAAGGCTGTGCGCGAACGCAAAAGCCGGGCGCGTGCAGCGCACGCGCCCGGAGGCGCGTCAGGTCGGCGCGCCTGACGCGTCTGATTATTATTATTATTTTTTTTAATTTTTTTTTTGTTTTGTTTTTTCTTTTTTTTTTTTCTCTCCCCTCCCACACTCTCTTTCCTAATCACTCTTACATTATCCCCCCATTCTCCCCAACCAATGTGGATGCTCTTAATGAAATTGACAAGGAAGAAACACTGGGAATTTGGAATACAGTAATATCAACATTTAGGTTCCATTGTGATTCATGTCATAGCCGACCAACTTAGTGTTAGAGGTAAAAGGAGAAACAGAATCCAAATATATTTAATTATTTCCTGTAGGTTAAGTGGAAATTTCACTTGGCTGATCTGAACTAGTTAGACTATAATGTATGCATGTACAAATATGTTGCATAAACGTAACAATAGAATGCTAACATCAGTCTAGAACTCAGGATGTCATATGATATGATGACAGATTTCCCATCTGAAGCATACCCCCCTCAAAAAATACTATTGAGTTTAACAAGAAAGATATAACAAAGAATGAATTTGTCAAAAAAGAAACATAATCAATTTAAATTTGAAGAAAAGTACTTTGTCAACTTTGTTTCCAACAAGCATTTTGATACAATCTTGATTTGTGGAGTAAAGGTCAATCTCTTTAGCCCAAATCTCAGAAAGATTGGTAAATGTTTCTCGTCGTGTTACATCATAAACTGTTCAGATCAGAAAACAAGGCTATGTTAGGAAAAATTGTTATCTTAATCAATAAGAAAGAACTTTTGCACTTGGAAGTCAAAGAAAATTTTAGGAAATTAAGTAAATATTGCTGAATGTCACTTCTAAGTTAGAACATCACAGTTAATTGTGGTGTAATAATTTTTATTTTTATTATAACAAAAAATCATCTCCCTAGCACAAAGTAAAGAATAAATACCCATGATAATCCCTTGTGCTCCTCTGTAATACGAGCTTGTAAGTGTTCTGAATCTTTCTTGACCAGCTGCAAAACAAAAAATCCAGAAGCATGTAAATCCAGGGGAAACAAGCTTCAGAACCCTAATAAACAAAATTAACAATAATAAATGCTTGACACCTTCACCACAGCCTAAACAAGCTTAAATGTGCAATAAAAAATATCACTATAGGAAGTGAATATACTTTTTTGTTTTGTCTGACCACAAGTTTCTTCAACCAGTCAATTAGCTACCACACACCGAGACTAATCCTATTCGTGCCAGGTAAGACCTCAAGGGTGGCAAACATTCCTTGATAGGTTTTAAGGAGTTGCATTCCGAGAACTTGAACCCGAGACCTCTGGTTAAGCTAGAAGAGACCACGCCATCTCATCCACACCCCCATGGGGTGATGTGAATTTAATTGACATTCAAACAGAAGTACAAAACTCTTCTAATTAATTTGGTATAATGATAGTAGATGCAAATGGAGATAGTGAAGCAAATCTCTATGAGTGTATTTTGTCAAGTTTGCTTGGGAAATTAAAATGAGGAACACTTGGGCAAGGACATCAACTATATGCAATCAGTTGCTATTTATCAAAGTAGTACGGAGCATTTAAGAGGCAAATAGGCAATAGTTGCTTTCTCTTTTGATATTCATCATTCTGATTTAGTCTTCCATTCAACAAGGATTTATTAGTTTTTATTGCAAAACTTAATTAATAAATTTGTATTGTTTAGTTGTGAGGCAATAGATTTGAGCAAATACCGAAGTTGGAGCATTTGTCAGAAGTGTGCAATTGGTCATTGGTGAGGTGTGAGCATGAGTAAAAAAAAGTGACGATGTAATGGATACCGGGCTTCTCTATATATATAATTTTTTCATTTCAAGGGTGGAAAGCTTGTTCAATGCGCAGTTACTAGAAGAGTAAAAGACGAATGGACACGGGGAAAATCTCACTTGGTTCAAGGATGTAAATTGTGTTAACTGCACCGTTCTTAGAGGTCATCTATGTTAACTAGTAAAGTTAACGGCAATTAATCCTAGCCTCATATGATTCCATCACGTAACTCTACAACACATTATCTTACGATAAGACATGCTATCTACTAAGGGTCCGTTTGGAAAGCAGGAAAATGATTTCTGGAAAATGAGTGATTTTCCAGAAAACATTTTCCTTTCCAGTGTTTGGTTGCATTCTGGAAAACTCTCTTAGTGTGTTTGGATCATTTTCTGGAAAATGAGTAGAATTGTATAATTAAACATTTTAATTATTTTATTTAGAATATTACAACATGTATAATAATATAATATATAATAATATAATAACAATTTTAAATATAATAAAAAAAAATAACTAATAAGATACCAAAATAATTCACCAAAGTCTTGTAATTCAAAACAACAACAGCAACAACAACAACAATAATAATAATAATAATAATAATAATAATAATAATAATAATAAGTGGTATAGTAGTAGTGGTATAGTGGTGCTGTGGTGGTAATGTGGTGGTGGTGTAGTGGTAGTGGTGTTATTTGTTATATAATAATAATAATAATAATAATAATAATAATAACTAGTGGTGGTATGGTGGTGGTGGCAGTGGTGTGGTGGCGATGGTATGGTGTTGGTGGTGGTGGTGGTAGCGGGGGTGGCGGCGATGGTGGTGATAGTGTGGTCTTGTACGGGAGGTGGTGGTGATGATGGTAGTGAGGTGGTGTGGTGTTGATAGTGTTGGTGGTGGTAATGGTCGCAAATTATGCCCTGGAATGTTCACCGTGAATGGTGAACACAAGTCCAAACGACGTCGTTTTTACGCAAAAAAAAAAAATAAAAATAAAAATAAAAAAAAATCGCGGATGTGGAGTTAACGGCGCGCGTTTGATCAAATTATGAATTTTCTATTATGAGATTACGAATGTAATGTAAATTTATAATCTCATAACAGAAAATTCATAATCGCATAAAGTAAAATATTTATTAAATTATGAATTTTCTGTTATGAGATTATGAATTTTCTGTTATGAGATTATGAATTTTCTGTTATGTAAATTTATAATCTCATAACAGAAAATTCATAATTTCATAACAGAAAATTCATAATCTCATAACAGAAAATTCATAATCTCACGGTTCCAAAGTGAATGTGTAGGCATGGTTCCAAAGTGAATGTGCAGGCACGGACTCATAATTTATGAATGTCCGTGATTTCGGACGGGAATGTGTAGGCATGCTTCCAAAGTGAATGTGCAGGCATGAATTCATAATTTATGAATATCCGAAATCATTGCTCACCTCAAATTAAAGTGAAACCGCGAAATGTGAAAATGAAGAAGAAAAGTCACGTAATTAATTAAGGAAAAAAAAAAAGATAACGGTGTACTAACACCGTTGGAACCGTGTTCACCATGAATGGTGAACACGGTTCCATGGCATAACGATTGGGTAATGGTGGCGGTGATTGTGGCGGTATGGTGGTGGTGGGGTGGCGGTGGTGGTGATGGTGGTAGTGAGGTGGTGGTGGTATGGTGTTGATGGTGTTGGTGGTGGTAGTGTGATGTTGGTGTAAAAGTTGAAAAATGACTTCCTTAACAAAAAAAAAAGGGAAGTCATTTTCCCCAAAACAAGCATATTTTCCAAAGTCAAGGGAAAACATTTTCCGTTGACTTGATTTTCCAAATTTCCAAACACACCCTAATTCCAATTCCAAATTAGTATTCCCGGTAATTCTTTTTCCACCAACCAAACAATGAAATTCATCTTCCAAGTAATTGTTTTTCCATGGAATTCCAATTACACTTCCCTTAAAATATTTTCCGCGAACCAAACGAGCCCTAAGTACTTCTGCTAAGAAAAGTCAAGGATCTTGGCTTTTTTTTTTTTTTATTTTATGAGCTCCTCAAGACAGACCAATGCATTCCTGTTTTCCTAGATCTTCGACTTGGTGCCCTTTTCTTTTCATTCCAATCATGCTGTATAACATCAGTTACCATATCTAACAGATCAGCTCCTTGGAAGCAAAAGAGCCATAACCAACTAAATTGCATAAACTATAAGAGAAATCCAGAGGACTAAAGTTCTTATACCAGCACAAAGCACAGTGTTTTCTCCCATTTCTTAGATTTCAATGCAACAGACAGAAAACATATTGTTCAAATGATAAAACATGGCAATCAGCCTCATTATGTCATTGTTTTGGACTTTTAGTACAAAAAGCTGGGGTAAAGCACATTGTGTTGCATAACCAGAAAGAAAGCATAACAATATGCAAAAATATAAAAAATGTAGCAGTAAATATTCGAAAGGTTGAGGGGCAGGAGGTCAAATATAAAAGCTTCAGATGAGGAACTAAAAACCATAATAAACAGGTGAAAGCAATATTCCATTCTGTATTACCTGTATCCCAGATTGCAAGCTTTATCTTCTTCCCTCCCATATTGACATATTTCACCTTAAAATCAACACCTATCATTATAAAAATCAGCATATACCAGATTCAGAATGGTCATCAAATGAGGATAAAACTGAAAACTTTCCATTATAAAATATCAATTGGAAAAGCACACAGTGGACACGTATATGCAAATCAACCCCATGATTTTAACAAGCTTTTATGTGATTCCAAGGACACAAGAACGGAAATAAAATCTAAAGCATATGATTTTATTTATAATGGATTCAGAAAATGTCAAGTTATTCAAAACCCATGATTATCTGAACTCCGGGAAATTAGAACCAAAAAGAGCAGTACCAATGGTGGGGGATAGATCCTCGAAGCTTTCAGACGTGAAGCTTAGGAGAAGAGTGCTCTTCCCGACGCCGGAGTCTCCGATCATCAGCAACTTGAACAGCAAATCAAACTCCGGGGATTGACTATTCGTCTCCATGATTGCTCTCTGACGATGGATAAACAATATGCAATTCTCAAACTTATATATATATTATTATAAGAAGTAATTACAATGTAATGCAATATGCATACATGGATCGATTGTGCAGTTGTACGAAGAACGGGAAAGTGTAGCGGAAAATCTCCCGTCCCAACTCGGCGATCCGACTCAAAGCGCTTTCAATGAGTAGTGGCCCTTTTTTACAATGTGACACCAGCCTCACGAATTATTTACTTGTGAGACTGTCAGGGACGGTATAAATAAATATAAAAATGCAAATATGCAATACAATATAAAATATATTTGTTACTTATAACTTATAAGAGATAGTCTAGTATTACAATTTTATTTTGACCAATCTGTCTCAAGGACCGCTTAGTCGGAGATGACCACGGTTCGATTCGAATTGAAATGTGGACTATTAAAACCGGATCGAAACCAGAACCGTACACTGTACGGATGGATAAGGTTCCGGTTCCAAATCAGTATTTTTTTTAAAATAATTATTATGTATTATTATATTAAAGTTTAACTATTATTTTAAAAAATTTTAAACTTTAAATAACATTTTAAAATTTTAAATTTTAACTATAACAATTATTTTTTGGAAAAAAAAAATCAAATAAGTCCCTAAACTTTATCTAAAAAGTCAATTAGACCTTTAAACTTTTAGAAGTTGCAATTAAACCTACAAACATGTTATTTTAGAGCAATAAAATCCACTAATCTGTTGGTGACCTGTAATTGCGGGTTAATTAGGATTCCAGCCAACTCCGATGAACCTCCAACAACCACCCGACTAAATTTCAGCAAAAAAGGACAAATCTAGCGACCGGCAACCATTGCCATCAATGGTCGCCGGTATTTGTCCTTTTTTGTGGGAATTTGGTTGGATGGTTGCCGGAGGTTCATCGGAGTTGGCTAGAACACTAATTGACCTGCAATTACAAGTCACCAAGAGGTTAGTGAGTTTCATTGCTAAAAAATAACATGTTTGTGGATTTAATTGCAACTTCTAAAGCTTATAAGGGTCTAATTGACTTTTTGGGTAAAGTTTAGCAATCGTTATACCGTGGACCCTGGTCCTATATGACGTCGTTTTGAACTTTAATTTTAACGGAGACCGTTTGTTGTTCAGTTTGCATTATAGTGTTTTTTTTTTAACTGTAAAGTATGTGTATGTATATCATGTTAAGTGTTTCTGCACATCATGTTACGAAATTCTGTACATTAAACGTAAAGATTATGTACATGAAATTGATTAGTAGTTGTATAACACAACATGTGACACCCCGAAATCCAAATTCAATTAAGGGATTAATTGAGTAATTAATCCTATTTCAATTTGTAATTTAATTCCTTAAATTCCTGAAATTTAATAGTTGGGAACTAGTAATTGACTAGTCAACCCCAAAGTCAAAGTTGTACATTGAGCTTTGTAATGAGTTCTCTTGTCCCCTACACTTCCTTATGTTAGTAAGGGTATTCTTAACCTTTCACTTGTGGTTGGTATTGTAACCTAACCTAGTAGACCACCTTCATTCTCTCCTTACACTTTTCTAAAAATCTAGCTCCACCTTCTCTCTAAAAAGGTGAGTAGCTTTTCTTCCAAGCCAAGTTGGAACCTTGCCAAAACTTCAAGAGTTGCTTCCAAGATTCAACCTTTCTTATATTTGGGCATCTAGAATGGTAAGATCTAAGTTCATCTTGTGTTTTTGGTTTTATCTAAGGTGTCTTTTCTTAAAGATAGGATCTTTATGATCTTTTGGTATGTTCTTGAAGTGGGTTTGGAAGGTGAGCCTAGTGAGGAGCTTGTTGAGGTGTAAAGTGAAGTCTTTAGTCTACAAGAGCTAACTCATTGATAGGAATATTTTTGTAAGTTTTGATGAGCCAAATGTATCTTTAGATCCCCTTAGTTTTTAAGTCTTTAGTACAAGCATCATAAATCAAAATATTGAAATCAGAAGGAATCTACCATAGGAAGAACAAAGTTAATTTGAGAAATTAATTTTGGTCCTACGAGTATTCATCTGTGAAAGAAGCATAAAGCAATGGCGTTGCAAAGAATGACTGGATGAGCCTAACGGCGAAATGGTAGAGGTCCTTACTCTAAATGATCACACCCGAGATCGATTCCTCCCCAAGGACTTATGTTTTTTGTAAGGCAGATTTTGAAGGAGCATGATGTGTCTAAAAGAGCACAATGCCATCTAAGAAGCACAATGCTGTTAGAGGAGCACAATGCACAATGCCACCTAAGAAGCACAATGCTGTTAGAGGAGCACAATGCACAATGCCACCTAAGAAGCACAATGTTGTCGATTCCTCCCCAAGGACTTATGTTTTTTGTAAGGCAGATTTTGAAGGAGCATGATGTGTCTAAAAGAGCACAATGTGTTCGAAGGAGCACAATGCCATCTAAGAAGCACAATGCTGTCAGAGGAGCACAATGCACAATGCCACCTAAGAAGCACAATGTTGTCTAAGAAGCACAATGTTGTCAGAAAAGCACAATGTATCGAAAGAAGCACAATGTTCAAAGTTAAGGAGCACGATGTTCAAGTCAAAGGAGCACAATGTGGCAAAAGAGCAAGATGATCAGAAATTGGATAAATTCGAAGGAATTTACTCCAAGTCCACCCACATGCCACAAGACTCCAAAATTGCCTGAAAGACATTTGATCAGAACGGAAAAATATTTATGAAGGCATGAATATAAAAACTTATCCTAGAAATAAATTCTATCAGATGAATTTATTTCAAAGATTCGTTGGATATTCAAATTGACAATTAAAGTAATATTTTTAGAAACAACTAGAAAATTAAAGTTGTGCTAAAGAATTACTTTGTCAGGCAAGTTGACAAATCAAATCAAAATTGAAGATCTACTACTGTCAACAATATCAGGCTATGAAGATTCAAATTTCAAATTATCCCACTCCAACGGATATATTTGATTGACTATAAAAAGCCATGAAGACTTGAAGACAAAGTGTGTGGGGCAGAGGTGAACGAGATAGAAATGCAATACAAGTGCAAAATTCAAAAGTGCTAGTGCTCAAAATATTCTAAGAGACTTAGTCTGAATAGTCTCAAATCTAGTTGGAGAGAGAATTAGAGAAATACAAATCCTTGTATTTGTAAATTGTAGAAAGAGTGTAGCTGTGTGCAAAATACTCTAGTGAGTGTAGCTGTGTGCAAAACACTCGTAGTTGCTAAGTGTAGCTGTGTGCAAGACACTTAGTTGGCGTTGAGTATAGCTGTGTGCGGAATACTCGGAGTTGAGTGTAGCTGTGTGCGAGACACTTGGAGCAGGGTGTAGCTGTGTGCAAGACATCCGGAAGAAGTGCATGTGTAGCACTTGTTCACTATTGTAACTGTGTGTGGAAAATAGTGAATTTCTTCTAGACGTGAAAGGAGAAAAGTGGACTAGGAAGATTACGCCACTTCCGAACCACTATAAATTGTCTCTCTTATTTACATACCGCACTTACATTATTTGCTATATCTATCTATCTCATCCGACTAACCCGTTTACTATTCACAGTTAATCTTAATCATCCGGGTTTAGTGTGTTCTCACGTATGCATGTGACTCAAACTTCTCAAGCTTAAATACTAATTTATTCTAAGCAAGTTTGACGTGCTGCATGTAACATTCGTTACACGGACGACGTGACACGATATTTATTTACAATCTTGAATATTGTTATTATATATTGAGTGCACCATCTCCTTTATATATTCAAGATATCTCTGCCACTTTACATATCACTTGTACCTATCTTACTTATACTTGCACACTTAATTTACTAGTTGGGCATAACTCTTTACTATTATTCCGCTGTGCAGTACAAACTTGCTCTATTTACTTGTTACTTAGAGTTGAAGTTACCGAAGAGTTATTTAATTTGAAAAAGCTTGAAAGTCTATTCACCCCCCCCCCTCTAGACTTTCACCAACCTATCGGGACCAACAATTGGTATCAGAGCGGTTGTCTATTTGAGTCAATTTTGACTGCTAGACAGATCTCGAAAAATCAAGATGATGAAAAGAGATAATGCTCTTGCCCAAAATTTATTATTTTCCTTAGAAAAATTTGACGATTGGAAAATTCGCATGCAGGTACATTTATCCGCATTACACGATGAAATGTGGGAAGTAGTTACAAGTGGTCCTATTGAGATTTTACAAGTCAACACTTCATCTGTACAAACAAGTGACACTCCACAGTACATTCCAAAACCAAAAGTGGAATGGTCTCGTGAAGATAGAACAAGAAATAACTTGGACAATATTGCCAAGGATATTTTGTTTAAATCTATCGATGACACGATATTTCCAAAAGTTCGAAAGTGTCAATCCGCGAAGGAAGTATGGGAAACGCTCATTCAAATTGGTGAAGGAAACGAACAAGAAAAGGATAATAAACTCACTATAGCATTAAAGAAATTCGAGGATTTCAAAATGCTAACCGGCGAGAATATTACCGACATGGAAACAAGATTTGCCAAAATCTTAGGATAGATTAATGATCTTGGAAAAGATATTAATCAAAAAGAAATCTCACTCAAAATTCTACGTGGTCTACCATCTACATGGGACATGAAGGTCACAGGCATGAGAGATCATAGGGATCTAAAAACCCTATCAACCGATAAGCTCTTTAGTGATCTAAAAGCTTATGAATTTGAGATGAAATCAAGATTAGAGGAAGATCATGAAGAAAAGAACAACGCGCTTATAGCTGAGCAACCATCAACCTCAAGGTCAGTACAAAATGTTGAATTATTGCCTAATGATCAATTTGCTCTCTTTGTCAAGAAATTCAGGAAATTCATGAAGAGAAGCAACTACAAGAAAAATCCACAAGGGAAATCATGGAATACAACGAAGAATTCGAAGAAAGAAATTATTGAGGAAGATTCAAATTTGTGTTACAACTGTAGAAAACCGGGACACTTTGCAGCAAGTTGTCCATATCCCAAGGTGAGTAAAAGTCAGTACACAAATATTACTAACCCTCAACAGGAAGAATTCAAGCCCAAAGATAAAAGATTAAAAGAAAGAAGAAAAGCACTCATCAGTGACCCACTTGAAATAAGTGAGTCAGAAGAATCTTCAAGTGATGAAAGTGACACCTCAAAGGATGACAATGCAATGTTTTGCATGAGCATCTCCAACAACACACCACACGAGGACATGTGTCTTATGGCTAATGGACATGAAGAAAA